TCTCTTGTTGGTGACACATTCTATGATGAGAAGTCCTCTGAGACAACTGCTGTGAATTGAATTGATTGAAGTGCCTCTTGTTTGGTGGTTTTACATCCACAACTTAAGTATTTTCTCTTCAGTAAACCAGTTTTGGAACCAGACCAGGAACACAGAAAAAATGACTTTTCCTGAAATCCGTCTTCCTAAAGATGTAAGGGAGTTCTCATACTGTATGTGACATTGTTTAAGTCCAGGCTGAAAATATAAGACTAAAGTTTAGATATTGAGTTTTAATACTGAGTTTTTATTCTGACATTGAGTGTTGTTTTTGATTTATGATTATTTTGTAAGTTTTGTGTATGATGATGAGTAAACACAGAAACACCCTACATTACATAGTCGTGTTTATTTCTATTATCTGATGTGAATTCCACTTTGTACAGCATTAGGCGCAGACATTATTTGTAAGCACTTTTATTTTGCATTGCTGCATTTTCAGGAGACACTCGAAACAGTGAAGGTAACACAACACTGACCGCGGTTATTCCAGGCTTCCACGACGTGAGTGTAATGCTTGACCTGTCAATTTATGGTCATGATATATCATCATACTTTGCATGATTTATATTCACTTCACCAGTCAAGCGCAACGATGCGGAACCATGAAAATGCAGAAAATATGATATTGCTATATTCTTTTGCAAATGGCCTGAGATAATTTTACACATGCATCTCAAATATTGATTGACCTCAGACAGCCAAGGACCTTAATTAGTCTCAAAGATTATTGCAGGAAGAATATCACTTTCTTAGATACCAAGAAAAACCAATAACTGGCATTACAACGTGTGTTTTAAGTTTCCATTTTCCCAGTTAAACATGTGCAAGGTGCTAAATATAATTATGGAAGAGTTTGATTATGGCTATGCCATGAGCTACAAAAACTGTTCGGATTTTGAGTTGATGAGCAAGCCTTGCCAGATGTAACCTTTCAAATGCACTGAGTAATGAAATTCTTTGTTACTTTATGTGACACCATATGGCACACTTGTCCTTGTGCTACGTGTACACAGGCATGTCTTTCCTGTGTACACGTAGGTTTCCTCCGCGTGTTCGGTTTTTGCTAACACTAAATACATGTACAATAGGTATGGGATGCATCTCCCAACAATTGCAAAGCGCTTTGTGACTATGTCAAAGGTGCTAAAATAGAAAAAAAGATTACTTCCTTAGAAGTGAGTTTATGATCTCAAAATAGTCTTTGAGATCATAAACACAAGTTCACTTTGTCATCCATCCAACTTCAGCTCAGCCAATATAGACCTTGTTCTAAAGCTCAGTACGTCGTTGACTTTATTTGCACATACTGTGCTGCCGTGGTTATTGATTGTGTCACTTCTGGAAATGGTACTAATGTAGCTGGTGAGATAGTAAACATTTGTCATTCAGCCAACTTCAGCTCTGTTATAGATCATCATAAAGCTTAGAAGAGCCCGATGCCAGTCAAGACAGTTTTTCAGTCCGTGATGTCGGCTCCTGGACTCTTACTAAAGGGTTTTTTACATCCCTGACTTATAGTGTATTCATGCAAGCAGTATTCCTTGCAAACCTTGTACAAAGGTGTTCGTATTTTACTTTGAAAAAACGATTCTTCCCTGTAAGTTCTTCTCTATCTCTCACTATCTTAACCTTGCACACTCTTGTGATTGCAGCTCTCCGTAGTGATTATCAAGTGCTTTGAAGGGTGAAACCACAGAGCAGTAGCAGCCAATCTTCTGAAAGCAAGAGACCAAGTTTTTTGTAGTGGCCGGATCTTTGAGTTAATAGTCACAATAATAATAATTTTGTTTTAAATTACTTTTACCTCTTGTAGTATAGATTTTTGTGAAAAGCAACACAATTGATTTGCCAAAGTGCTAAACTTGTTCTGTATCATGATTCAAATGTGGAAATAGGGAATAGGGTTTTGAACTTGGAAATGTTTTTTAAAAAAATTATAGGGTCAAGTCAGGGAGCTTTATACCTGCTGTGTGCGGCCAAGAGTCCTGCACACAACATGTTGCGAAGCAAAAAACAAGGTAAAGGTAAAGGTGCACTTTATTAATGCCCGTAGGGAAATTCATCCGCTGCATTTGACCCATCCTGATGCCGCTAAGGCTTATGTCAGGATTCAGATTCAGATTCAGATTCATTTATTTGCCATTTGCAGTAAAACCACATTGGAAAAACTGTGCAAGACTACCCCGGTGTGCACCAGACAGAGAAGACGACACACACCAGAGCTCTTGCCTGGTGCGACAGTGGTCGCTGTAGTACAGTAGAAAATGGATGGATGGATGCATGTTTTTAGTGGTAGAGGAAACCGGAGCACCTTGGAGGAAAACGCAGGCACTGGGAGAACATGCAAACTCTACTCAGAAAGAACCTGTTTCGACCGGGATTCGAACCCAGGACCATTTGCTGAGAAGTGAGATCCACTCCAGTGCTATCCACTGCACCCTTGTCTATAGTATCTAAAACCTATATTTAATTTCTAAAATAGGTTTTGAGCTCAGTGACTTTATACAATCTTCTGACAGCCTCTTTGCTGAAGTTCGTAAAAGAGGTAAACGTGTGCTTCTTTGTACCATTTCCTCAATTTTGTTGTTCCATCCTGACTGCTTCTATTCCTGTCGGAAACTGGAAGTAAATAACATTTAAAGAAAACTACCTCTATACTTACTGTGAGAAGTGAGCACTTTTGTTCACTGTTGACGTACATAAATAAAGAGAAAAGTGTTTTTTTCTTTTCTGCCGCCCCTTTTGCGGGAGATGCAGACCCTCGCATATTTACACTAAACTCATAATTATTATACTATACCACTCTTAGTTCTACTCTAAAAACATCTAAAAGCATTTTCAACCAAAAAAAAGCAGTGAAAATCAGTATTTGTGGTGTTATTTCAGACACACTTATGGCAATTTTAAAACGCGTAGCAAAATGTAGTTTTTATCCGTCTGTTATTTCTATATCTAGCATATTTCATACATGACTGGCACTCAAACCACCACGCAAACAATGCAACAACAAAAATCAAGACTAGACATATAATAAATAGAGACACATCCAGAAGTCAAGAGAAAATGAGGTCTGTTAAATGAGCTCAGTGATATATTTGGTCTGCAGTGTTTTAGGCCTGTAACGATATTCAATAAATCGATTAATCGCATGATAATTAAAAATAGCTCGATAATTTTTCTGGCTGCGATGAATTCCATTTGCATGCTCGTTTGTTTTCCTCGTCTCTCTCTCTCTCCCGCCTCTCTATGGCAAATGGAAAATGTGAAAAAACAAATCTGCGCATGCATCAGCCGGCACGAGCCCCATTCATTTAAACGAGTGACTTAGAAAACTCACAGCGAGTAAACTAGACTGGTCCAAAAAAATCCACCCCCCTCAGCATTGACACACATGTGGAACAGAGCTTTGGGCCAAGAGCCAACTTTTGGACCATCCTATAAATACGTTTTTGAGAGGTTAGAAGATACGTACATTTGCATTGAATAATTCCCTATCCGGTTCCAGCCCTCTGGCTCGGTTGTGATTTCGCAAGCATGTTAGCGCCCGTCATTTTGGCCCCTTTTGAACCGGGACCCGCCCCCACTGGGTCAGAGAGCCGCAAAGTGGTCACGGAAACATTAGCGGTCTAGCGAGCAGACTCAAATTTTTATTTTATTTTAGGCTGTGTAGCTACAAATGAATTGCCTGTTGAGGATAAATACAGTTTTTTGAATATGAATCATTTGATGTCTTTAGGGAAACCATTCCATTTACAGTGATCAAATTGGGAAAAATATACGTACTTATATTAAATGAAACTGAACTGAACTGTAAGGCCAAGCTCCAAGGACCTGGCACTGTAATCAAAATGCACAAATAAATCAGAAATATTTGACGGTACCAGACCTTCACTGGCAGGATTTTCAAGTCAATTTGCGCCTGAATTGGGACAAACTTGAACAAATCTTCAGCCTCTGGGTTGATTTATTTTGAAGGAACTAACCCATCTTAAAATGTAGAATGTAAAGATATTTGTCATTGAAAAGAAATGAAGTCAATTGTTGTCATAAAACGAAAATATAAGTAAAGTAAGTATAAGAAAATGAGAACTTTCAATATCCCACTGTGGGGAAATTTCAATGTTGCAGCGCACATACAGGACAGTAGTAAGAGCACACAGGGAGCACACTAAATACAAAATATGTAGTATAAGTAGCTCCTATGTTTCTAAGCTAGCTGTAAAATGCTTCAATATCATGATATCAATATCTATCTCAATCAATCAATCAAAGTTTATTTGTAGAGCGCCTTTCATGCACAGGGCAACACAAAGCGCTTCACAGTCCACATCACAAATCATCACATAAAACAAACACCAGAATCACAATTAAAACATTAAAATCACACAAAAGATTAAAACACAATAAAAACAATAAAATCACACAAAAGAATAAAACCATTAACACTTTCAAAGTTACACAAGAAATTTAAAAAAAATAAATAAATAAATGACAGCAGTGCATTACAAATGGAGATAAAATCCTTCAGTTGTATGCACAGGCAAACAGAACAGTCTTTAACCTGGATTTAAACATTGACAGAGTAGACGCCTCCCTCACATTTTCAGGGAGATTGTTCCAGATCTTAGCTGCATAGATCTGAATGTATCTACATGTAGTGCAAAGATGCCATGAAAAATAGTTCTGTCCACCTCAGGACTTTTTAATATCAATAGAATTGACCAAACGGTCCTCTAACAATAAAGACAATAGGGCAATAACAAAGCAAAAAAGTTTCCAAATGTGACGCACACATTATGGTTGTGCTCCCTGTGCTTCCCCCAGAGGCTGCATATCCAAATATATTTGCATAACAACATTAGACAATCCATGCATGTCAATACCCATATTAACATTCCATATAGCATTTGGAGGAATTGTGTTAACACTGAATACTACATCGGAATCAGATTTCTTACCTGCAAGGCATCCAGTGATTGATAGCAGGACAATTTGTTTCCATGGTAACATCATCTTTAGTTGCCAAGGGCTCATGGACTCTCCTCCAACTGCGTGCGAATGGAAGTCTCTCCCTCGAATTCAATCTAAATGGAAAGTAATTAAAACATGACATTTTGATCCAAATACCACAGGAATTTCACAACAGCAAACATGATTAAGAGGACAGATGCACGTAATTGGACGCTATTATTTGCAGGTACTGTAAATGTGGAGTGGGAGCAGAGAAGGAGATGGAACAGACTGCTGCAAACCTGGGGATGTGATTCTGGCAGCAGCAATATTTTCATGTGGAACAGGAAAAGAAGCAGCTGTTTAACCAGTGTCGCTGTTTGTCTTGGAGACTAACAAGCTCAAGTATGCAGCTGAGAAGAAAACGAAATAACAAAAGTGAAGCTCCAAATATGCATGTTTGTGTGTGTGTGTGTGTGTGTGTGTGTGTGTGTGTGTGTGTGTGTTGGGAAGGTAAACTAATTCAATTCTACATTTAACGACAACCATCGTCATTGTTATGTTTAGTATCCCATGTCAGTCCAAAATCAAAATATTGTTAATTTTCTAAAGTACTTTGGAAAACTTTGACATTCTCCCAGAAAATTTCATTTTCAGTGGGACTAAATCTGGGTGTTTAAGGCAATAATTTAAGATTTACTTTTCTGTTTGTAAGCTTGCTTGCTGATTAGAGAAAGCATCTAGTTAGTTTTGAATATTTGAACGTTTTCGTGGTTCTACATTATATTTAGGGCTGAAGCTCATTTTAGTTAGTTCTAGCTTCATCTTTTTTTTTTATTGCAATATTTCATACAAAAGATTTATATTTAAAATGAAATATAAGCTTGAGCTATGTATTAACTTCAGGAGAGCAGTGTTGGCACAATGCAGAAACATGTATGAAAGAATCGCTATATGTAGTTCTGCGGCCTGATGTGGAAATGTTTCACCTGTAGTTTTAGGTAATAATACAAATTAACCACTCAACCAATGTTTTGTTTGTATTCAATTGATTATTCTTATCATACCTAATTATAATCAGCATTACACTATATCCATGTGCTTCAGAGATCTATCTATCATTAATCACAGCCTGCTCCCATCAACTTTGTGTTTCAACAAATTCAATCAAAAAACACACACTCTCCTCAGTCCCCCATGTTTCTATATGTACAAACTTTTTAGTAAGAGGGCCACTGTAGTTAATCAAGCTTTTCCAGGGGCCGACAACCCGGATAGAAAAACTGTTTTTTTACATCTGGGACAGAAACGACCGTCTCACCAACTACATTGCTACAATAAAGTCAATGGCTAAATTCCAGAGGAGCTTATCTTTATAACAATGAATACCATGCCTATACTGGCAGAGCTGAAGTTGGATGAATGACACTGTGGACTTGTGTTTATGATCTTAATGATTACTTTGAGCTAGAAATGCAGAGGGCCCAAAAAAATAGCACAGAGGGTAGCAATTGGCCCGCAGGCCTTAGTTTGGGCAAGCCTGTTCTATACTATTTCCCTTTACTCTCAAAGCAGCAGCAGAAACATTCAGCCTCCCAATCTCCTCATTATCCCAAGTGTCCCGTCTCTTGTCTAAGTACAGAAATTCAATAAATTAGGTCACAGCCAGTCGACCAAAAATGTCCCACTCAAAAATGTATCTTTTGAATGAGCTTTAATTAGACTATAACAATCACATTCCCAGCAATGAATGACACATGCAGCAACCCATCAAAGGATGCATGTGTTTGCGTGGACAGATCCCTTACCAAACCATTTAAAGTTTTCTTATGTGGACGTAGCCAGGAGAAGTGTAATTGCTGTGGCAGTGGACGTGCAATGACCTACATCGCTGTGAGAGAAAAGTGATACAGCTCTCTGGATTAAGACTACAGCCCCTCCATCCAACAATTCCATCCTGTCGTGCAGATTAACCAAGGGCTATCTTTGGCATTCTTAAAAACAGAGCTAAATACCACCACAGGAGGCTTTCTCTATGTGGGAGGCAGTGGCATAAGGACGGTGAGACGAATCGAAATGTTTGTGTGAAAGGCACCGCAGTAAAAAGACCTCTGTCATTATCCATTATGACTGTGAACAATAACTGTGTTTCCAACTCCGACTGTATACATTACATTAATATCATGGCATCCCATATACCCATCATTGTCTAAAAGATTGAATTACTAATGAATGATACATAAGGTTGATTCAGACATAATTCAAAACTGATCCTCGATTAATTTTATTGTCTTTTCATTTGCCACTAGTCTTTTGATTCATTGGTTATTGTTTGGATCTAGAAAGGTCAGTGAATACGTGATTTTTTTGTAGCCACTGAATACCCACGCTGCTGTGTGTGTATTCTCGTATTATTTCAAGCTGCACAAGAGGCACTCCAGTTTACCATCCAACCATCCATTTTCTTCCCCTTTAATCCAGGTCTGGGTTGGGAGTCAGAGCTGCACCCAGTTCACAAAGCACCAGCCCCTCACTGATCCTCCTACAGGGGGCGAGTACACTGTCTCTGTCAGTGACAACACAGCCTTTTTCTTTCAGTGGGCGCTTCAGGCAAAGTGGGGTAGAGTGTCTTGCTCAATACACAACGACAGCAGAGATCAGTGGGAGTTGTCGGAGAAGGACTCGTGTGGGATTTGAACCCACGACCGTCAGGCCCAAAGCTCTACCAACTGAGCTAGTGCCAACCCCCACTCCAGTTTATCACCACCTAAAACATGCACCACAGATAAGTCCACCAGAGAAGGTCAAGATCAAGCCAAATCTGTGATATATTCTGGTAATACACTAGACAGGGGTTATTCAGTGGTTACAGCAGATCCCTGGAACAATCTCAGAAATCTCAGTCCAGAAAAGGACAGTGCCAGGAACAGCAAAGATACTGCACAGAACCCTCAAGCTCCATGTTCTCCTGGTAGTGGACTCAAACTTAGAGAGGGATAAGCGCACATCTGCAGGCGGGTGGAGGTTGAGCTGCGTCAAACGAGATTTACTAAACCGGACAGTTTTTTAGGTCTATATACAGAATGGACAGTTATTGTTGAATGGTAATCGTTGCCTTAGCACTGGTGATTGTACAAATTTGTGTGTTTAGTCATTTTTTAAAGTGTTCTACAAATTAAGTTGGACAAGAACGAGCCGAGTTTGTTCCACAATGTGAGGAAGAAAAGAGTTCTAAAATCCATCCTTTGTGACAGCTGTATGTTCCCTGAAGATGAGCCGTTTTGTTAATATGGAGGTCTATGAGAATTTTTCCTGTACGGCACTTGTGAATTTAGGCTGCAGTACCTCAGGTGTGCTACCTCCGTGCTGGGGCAAGCAATATCATAAAGCGCTTTCTCCCTATGGCAGGGAGAAGACGTTAGCAACATCGCCCTAACTGGATTTGAAGAGTTGTGTCAAGCAGGAGAAATACATTTTTTTTTACACAAATTACTATAATACATATTACGCTAAACAGGGATATATTTTTTTTAAACGGAAAGTTGTTACTTTCCGACCAATTAGACAAAGATGTCCACTGCTAAGTGCACATGCAGTAAGCTCTTCACTGTCGTATCTGGCATGCTCCAAAAACATGCTCCAAACTAGGGCTGGGCGATGAAGGGAAAAAAATATATCTTGATATATATTTTTATATACCATATATATCTCCAGTGGCGTTCCAACGGTACCCCGGGGTCCCAGGCAACGGAGTCCTTGGGGGCCCCAATACCGACCACATAACGAGATTTTGTAATCCTACAAAATATAATCTTTAATTGGGCTCTATTATAGCTCTTAGTTTTAATCTGCAAAAAACAGCTTGTGTTTATCTTTGACCGTTGTTGAGCAATCTGTCATAGAATATAATATATATATAGTTTAATCCAAAATATAGATCTCACACAGATTTTAACCCAGGTCGTCGCGGCGCAGCTCTGCAACTTAACCACTAGACCACAATGACATACTGCACATCTTTATCCCCAGGCAGGGATTTTAACTCTTAATAAAGAACGTGCCAATTTTTGCATCGGACGAGGAGATTTTTTTCCGCTAACTCGTCACTGCAGGTAGCTGTGTCAAATGAGTCGGCCCTCGGGGCCCCCTGCGGTTTGGGGGCCCCAGGCAGCTGCTCGCCTTGCCTAATAGCAAGGGACGCCTCTGTATATCTCAATATTTTCATCAATATATTTATAAATAACCCCACAAAAACTACTGCAAATACAAATCTGCCAATTTCCAAAGTTTTTTTTTTTTTATTGAAGCTCAAAGGGTAGTTAACGAGTAGTCAGTAGTCACTTCAGTAGTCAAATGAACATTTAACTGTAAAATGAATTAAGAAATGAAGCATACTGCCTTCTCTTCAGTCAAAAATAAAATGACTCAACTCAAGGCAGTACAAAGTACAGGCAGGAACAAAGTATTTCTGTAACATTTTATATTACAAAAGACTAGGGCTGGGACTTGATTAAAAAAAAAGAAATTAATTAGAGGCTTTGCAATGAATTAATCACAAATAGTCACATTTTAATCGCATATCAATATTTGACCTGAGAACAGTGAGTAATTTTTTCACATGGATTTTTAGTATGCCATTAAATAATGACTGAATACATAAGCTTAAGCAACACAATTATTGTTTATTTTGGTTCAAGTCCAACAGACCAGTGCAATTTTTACTATTAAGTGTAGTAATACCATATATAGAAACTTCCCATCCACAGGGCCAACCAACGCGTTCACATCAGCTTCTTTGTTCATGTTCACTGTGGCCCCGTCCACACGTAGCCGGGTATCTGCTAAACCGCAGATATTTGTCTTGTTTGCACCTGTCATCCACATGACAACGCATCATAAACAGATATATAAAAAGAACTCTGAGCAATGTGAAGATTTTTGAAAACAATATCTGCCAAAACAACAACAAACAAAACCTGCGACCTCTGATCACTGAAGAAGCATGGATCTTACTGCATTAAGCAGCGAACATCCTCGCTCCACATCAGAGAGCAGCGTTG